GTTAAGTGACTTGCCCAGGGTTGCACAACTAGTAAGTGTCAAGTGTCTGAGGCCAGATTTGAACTCAAGTCCTCCTGACTCCAGGGCTGGTGCTCTATCCACTGCACCACCTAGCTACCCCCTGAATTGTCATTCTTCTTGACCTCTCTTGTAGCTTTCAACACTGTTACCTATTTTGTCTTCCCAGAGGCTGTCTCTTCCCCTGGATTCCCCAATACTGGTTTTTCTTGGTTTTTCTCCTACCTGCTCTTTTCTTTCTCTTTTGGTTTATCATCCTCCTATTGCCAACATAGGAGTTTGCTCTTTATTTTTTTTTTTGCTCCTTATTTTACTTCTATTAAGCCTTAGCTTCTCTATCTGCAAAATGAGATTAATAATCCCTGAACTCCCTAGCTCATAGAATTGTTGTGAGTAAAGTGCTTTGTAAACCTTAATCAGTCATTCAGCATATTTATTAAGTGCCTCCTAGGTGCCAGGCACTGTGCACTCATCAACAGGCATTCAAGTGCCTACTATGTGCCAGCCATTATGTTAGGCACTAAGGATACAAGTATACAGAATGAAACAACCCCTACCCACAAGAAGCTTGCATTTGAATGAGGAAGACAGCGAGTGCATAATGCAAATATACAGAATAAATATAACATGATGAAATACAAATATATCCAGAGTAATTAAATACAAGATAGTTTGGGAGAGACAGGACTAGGTACGTAAGGCATCAGGAAAGGCTTTATGCAGTAGGTGGTACTTGAGATGCATCTTAAAGGAAGAGAGGAACTCTGAGGCAGAGATGAAGAGGGAATGCATTGCAGGCATTGAGGACGGCCAGTGAAAAGGCGTGGAGATGTGGGGAACAGAGAAAATGCCAATTTGGCTAGAACACAGACTGCAGGGGTGGGAAAGTATAGTCCAAATGAGACTGGAAAGGTCGATGGGGGCCCACTTGTGAAGGGCTTTACAAGCTAAAAAAACCAGAGGGGTTTACATTTTAGCTCAAGTGACAAAGTTAGATCTATACTTAAGAAAAGTACCTTAATAATAACATTTATAAGCCTCTGCAAGGACTTGACTGTAGAAGGAGCCCCCAAACTAAGCCTTCTTCTCAATGGGAGAAGCCTCCTGGGAAATGTCCTTCCCCAGGGGTTTGTGGCCCACATGTAACTTTTGTCATTTAATTATATTAGTGAGTCTGACACACAAGGGTCAGAAACTAATTTCTTTTAAGTTTTTTTCCAAGAATGGAAAAGTGAAGACTCCAAGCTAGTAGGAAATAGAAAACCTGATTAGCACAGTGCAGCAGAAAACTAGGGCTTAGTGCCTGGCACAGAGTAAACAATTAAGAAATACTAGTTGTATCCCAAAGAGATCATAAAAGCAGGAAAAGGACCCACATGTACAAAAATATTTACAGCAGCTCTTTTTGTGGTGACCAAGAATTGGAAATTGAGAGGATGCCCATCTATTGGGAAGTGGCTGAAAAAGTTGTGGTATATGACTGTAAAGGCATACTATTGTGCTATAAGAAATGATGAGCAGGCAGACTTCAGAAAAACCTAGAAAGACTTATATGAACTGATGGTGAGTGAAGTGAGCAGAACCAGGAGAACATTGTACACAGTAACAGCCACACTGTGTGATGACTGACTTTGATAGACTTAGCTCTTCTCAGCAATGCAAGGATCTAAGACAACTCCAAAAGATTCATAATGGAAAATGCTATCCACATCCAGAGAAAGAACTATGGAATCTGAATGCAGACAGAAGCATGCTATTTGCTCTCCATATCTTTTGTTGTTTTGTTTTATTGCTTCATTCTCTTGGTTCCTCCCATTGGTTCTAATTCTTCTTTACATCATGACTAATGTGAAAATATGCTTAATATGAATGTATAAGTAGAGCCTAGATCAGACTGCGCACCATCTTGGGGAGGGAGGGAGGAGAGGGAGGAGAAGAAAATTGAAAACTCAAAAGCTTATGGAAGTGAATGTTGAAAACTAAAAATCAGTAAGTAAATTGTTTAAAAATGAAACAAAAAAGAGAAATACTATCTAATCTGCAAATAAGAATATATAGGAGCCTTTAACAGTACCTGATTTTGAAGGCATTGGAATCTCCACTGGTTTCCAAGAGATGAATTTTTGTATCAGGAAATAATATGAGATACTGAAACTACTGTTTGATTTCCCAAATAAATTCAACTCGCTCTTCTCCCCCTCCCCCTTCAGTTCATTGTCCATGGTCAAAATCTATGTACTGATGTACTAATTCAAGACACTGCCTTTCCAATTGCATGCTGCAGTCCAGGCAATATTCAGTGCTCATCTCCCTGATTCTTCCCACATGGATTGCTCCTGTCCTTATGTTCTAAATGGTTTTGAATCTTATTGAGGAAGCCCAGTCACTATGGGTGTAATGGAGCTAGCTCAAACCCAAGAGTCGATTGTTAAATGTTCTGTAAGAGCATGTATAGCTCAGAAATCAGCAAATGCTACAAATCAGAACCTGAGGCATTATTTGATTAATTATCTAGACTGAAGAAAGTGAGGGAGGATATGTTAATAATGTAGATTAATATTAAAAGTGGATTGCACATACTTCTCCCCCCCCCCAAAAAAAGCTGGTTGTTAAATATTTACTAATATACTGCTATTAGTATTCTGGAGTGGCATCAAATAATCAGGTCCTCTACAAACAGGAAGCACCTCAAGAAGCTCATCTATAAGGAATTCCTTTTCCATTTGGATCCTATGCACAACATCCCCCATGACAGTGGCAAGCATGTCCAACAAGTGTGTATCTTTCTATGCTACATCCTACTTGATATTCAAAAACAGAGAAGGGGAAGATAGGTGGCGCAGTAGATAGAGTGCCAGCCCCAGACTCAGGAGGACCTGAGTTCAAATCCAGCCTCAGACACTTACTGGCTGTGTGACCCTGAGCAAACCACTTACCCCAACCCCCTTGCCTCAAAAAATAGAGAAAGAAAATTAGAGATCAGTGAACAAAGTCATATCTGTGGTTGCACTTATCAAGGAATCTTGAATTATCTTAATATATGTATGAGAGATACCTTATTGGAAGAGAGCCTTTAGGGATTCTTCCAGCTCTGCCAGGTCAAGCATTTTTTAAAAAATAATTAGCCAGCAATAAACACAATAGAGTCTTGTATTTGCTCTACCTTTAATTTGATTGTGTGACTATGAACACATGCTCTTCTAGTTTAGAAGGACAATCTTGGACAATCTTGTTATGGTCTTACAATTTCACTAATTCTTCATCAACATCTTTGTGTGAAAGCATACAGAGTACTCTCCCTGTTCCTTCTTTAAGCTACATATTTCAAAATAATATTAGTAGTTTAGTCTGAAGCTCTTAATCTAATCTGAATGAGAAACCTATCTTTCTTTAACTATCAATTCTGAAACAATGTCTTACACTTTTTCCCTCTTAGCAACAGTCTAACCATTTTCTGTGAGAAAAGTTGGTAAAAGTTTACGTAGGAACTATAAATTCCTGGAAAACAGATTACGGTAGTAGCCTGATTTTATGGAGTTGCAGCCCACAGTTTAAGAAGCATTAAAGGGGTCCCAAGTGAGAAAATTTAAGAAGCCCCAACAGAGCTGCAATGCTTTAATTTATCTCTACAATTGACACAAAGGTGGTTCAGGAAAAAAAAAATATTCTCCAGGATTCAAAGACATTATAAATGTCTACTGTTTTGTTTAATGAATTGAAACTGTTAACCAAACTCAGACCTGAGCTCTGTAACTGTGTTTTATCTTATTGTGAAATTTAATTATTCAGGATTACTCAAAAATATACCTCAAAAATGACTTCTTTCAGGGATTTTCAAAAACAGGATGGATTTCTGTCCTTTTGGGAGGTTTTCTCTACAAATTTTGACGTCTTCAGTCACTTCTAGGATATTCTCTCCTTTTCAGATTTCACAATCCTGCTTTGTTCTTTTTCTCCTTTTACATGTCTGATCACTCTTTTATCCATATTTATTTCATGGGTTTATTACCAACTTACCAGGTGACCCTGGGCAAGTAAGGAAGGTTGACCAAACATTGACAAAGAAAATTTTTGGATCAGAAAATTGAAGCACTGGAAGAGACTCTGGAGGTCATTTAGTCCAAACCCTTAAATCTATAGATGAGGAAATTGAGGCTCAGATTATGATATTCATGCAGACTGTTCCATGAAGAGACCAGAGACATCCATGAACGCAATTTAGAGTTGTGAGTTTCTCTGGGCACATAGGTTTCCCTACTCATGTTCTTCAATGCTAGATTTCTGCAAGTTTACATTCACTGTAACTCCCCCCCACCCAAACACTGCATATATTGGTAGGATAGTATGATCCAAGTTTATGAGTTAATATATGGTTTTATTATCCCTGCTTTTGCTTTCATTAATTAACGGTTATGTTATACTCTTTTCTGCCTCACCTTCTCATTTGGTAGTTGTTTTATGTTTAAGATCAAAGGTGTCATTGAGACTGATTTTTATACCTGAAAAGTATGCTGGTGGGGGCTCAGAAGCTATAGATGCCAGTGTGGATGCATATCGTTCCCACAATATGGTTACTCCTAAGTCACTGAAAGTGACTGATCACTAAGTCACTGATTTGAAGCCAGCCCCTGCCTCCATTCTGGGGCGAAAAAGAAATCCAGACCTGCCAGGATGAATTCAGGTTAGAGTGAGTGTGTCAACCCAGAAAGACACAAGTGGGGTGAGAAGCCACATCAGGTGGTGTTGAGTCAGTATGCTAATGGAACTAGGGAAGCTTGAGTTAACTCCCACTCCAATGACGTTAACTAGGGCTATTGTGAACCAAGACACCATGGACTTATGAGGGTCTTATTTTGTTTCTGAGCCTAAACTAACAGTTATCAAAATGATGTTGATAGGGACAGCTTTATCTGAAGTATTCCTGGAGTTACTTGACAATTCCCTTAATTTGGAGACTCAAAGTGTCAGGCCAATGGGATTCCTTAATCTTTAACAGAAGTTATAGGGCAAAGAGAGTATGCAGACCCTTTGACCCAGCAATAGCACTTCCAGGGCTGCATCCCAGAGAGATCATACAAATGGGAAAAGGACCCACGTATACAAAAATATTTATACAGCTCTTTTTACGGTGGCAAAGAATTAGAAATTGAGAGAATGCCCATCAATTAGGGAATGGCTGAACAAGTTGTGGTCTATGAATGTAAAGGAATACTATTGTGCTATAAGAAATTATGAGCAAGTGGACTTCAGAAAAACCTGGAAAGACTTGTATGGTCTGATGCTGAGTGAAATGAGCAGAACCAGGAAGACCTTGTACACAGTAACAGCCACGTTGTGCGATGACTAATATTGATAGACTTAGCCCTTCTCAGCAATGCAAGGATCTAAGATATCTCCAAAGGTCTCATGATGGAAAATGCTATCCACATCCAAAGAAAGAACTATGGAGTTTAAATGCAGATCGAAGCATACTATTTGCTATTTTTTTCTTCTGTTGTGTTTTGTTTCCTCTTTCTGGTGGTTCCTCCTATTGGTTCTGATTCTTACTTACAACATCACTAATGTGAAAATATGTTTAACAGGAATGTATATGTATAGCTTATATCAGATTGCATGCCATAGTGGGGAGGGAGGGGGAGAAAAATTTTAAACACAAAAGCTTGTGGAAGTGATTGTTGATAATTCAAAATAAATTAATTAAAATTTTTAAAAAGAGTATGCAGAAAGCATAACAAATAACCTCATTTCCCATTCAAAAATGAATGTTTATTTTCCAATAAAAGAAAATAAACTGAGAACATCTATCTTTGTAAAGTAAATATATGAGATGATCTTGTCTGTTCTTGTTCAAGGAAGGCACTAGTTACAGATGCTCTTTCTGCCTCCTTTGCTGAGAATTCTTTGCATTTTTTAAATGATTGACTATTTATCTATTTTTAGTAGACAAGTATACCACATCCACTGACACAGTGCCACAAAAGAGGCAGGGAAAGTGAAACGATTCCCCTTCAGGTGCCTGAATAAACTCTTACTCCCGTCCCATTTGGAGGGAGGTCCACTGTCAACGCTTCCTCCATCTCCAGGCTCTATGCAGAATGGAGGGGCCCATCCAGAGTCACAATGGCAGTTTCTCCGGTTATTACACACTCCTCGATGGCTGCACTTCTGTGGGACACAGTCATAATTGAGAAGTGAGCTACTCTGGCAAGACTTGTTAATACAGATGAGCCCCTTGCCACAAGGGGTGCCATCTTTGACCTCCCCCACATCGGATAAATTAATGGTCGCCATTGCAGCGTGATAGTCTGTTCCCCAGCATACAACATTCCCTAGATGAGTCTGAACAATTGCAGTGTGATCAGGCATAGAAGGGATGTCCCTTATATTAACACACTGCACTCTTCCACACATTATGTCCTGAGGTTTACATCGCTTATATTTAATGTCCTTGAGTCCACAATTGCCAAAGCGGTCACCTCGGTTGATTTGTGCATAGCAGCAAGCTGGGCCATTCTGGGCGCCATGGCCAAAAAGTCTTCTGCACTGCTGGAGATGAGAATGGCATTGATTGTGGTAACAAAGGCCTGTCTCGTTATTACCACACGGGGTGCCATCTTGTTTATAGAAGTCATCTGGGCAGAGATTGGTGGTCCCATTACAGAACTCATCAAGATCACACTCAGTCCTCTTCGGTCTACATACTTTTCCAGATGGACGAAAATGGCAGCGTTTACAGCAAAGTCCAGAGTTACACTGGGCCCTTTGTTTAAATTTGCAAGTTGGCAAACAACATTTATCATGTCGACATTCTGCTTCGGAGCCACAGTCACAATCCTCTCCCTGCTCCACCACCTTGTTGCCACACCTCTCTATCCTGTACACCATGTCTGGGATGTTATACAGACATTTTCCTTTCTTGGTGACAAAATTAAAATAACTGTCAAAGCTACAATTACTGAAAGTCCTGCCTCCCAAGGAAGCATCCATGAGGCACCTTTTTGCCCCACAAGTACAGAACTCTGAATCGTGGGCCATGCCAAAGCCATGACCCATTTCATGAACAAATGCCAAAGCATAGTCAAGGTTGACTTCCCGGGGTAGGCTGCTTACTGAAGATGCTGTAAATGAATGACAAGCACCAGAGACCCAAGCCCATCCCGCAGCATCCCCAAAGTGTTTGCCAACAAATAAATGAGCCCAATCCATGGAGATCCGAGGATAAAGAACATGTTTTTTATAGAAAGAAAATAATTGTAAAACTTGTATTAATTTGTCCCCATTTTCATCTATTTTATTTTCATCTGTCCATACATCAATGGCTGTCAGACGAATGTGAGCATTCAGGGTTTTAAAGTTTGTGTCTGCTATTCCTGACAAGGTAAGGCAGTCAGAAATTATCTGGGTCATATTGGAGCCTCTAGTCAAATACCTATTGTGGTCCATCACAAGCATCAACTCTATATACTTTAGGTGTATGTAGGAGTGAGAAAAATCTGTCTTGCCAAGAACCTCCAGGCTCTGGCTCTGGGCTAACTGACCGGCTATTCCTTTGTCAGTTAGACCACAGGTCTGGTTTGTGAACCCCTCCTCTCTCAGGCGATATAATATGTGTTCAAACGTGGTGGAGGCTTTCAGGGGCTCCACCTGGTAAAAGTTTCCATTCATGTTCAGTATCCCTCGAAGCCCCCCAAAGCAGGTGCTTAAGGTAGCCTGGGAGTCCGGGGAACCCTCCACATAACCGCCATAGTTGCAATCTTCGGGGATGTGGGGTTGGTCCTCCAGTCTGGCTCCCCGCTCTGTGAAGGAGAAAACCCGCAGGTGTCTAGACAACAGAAGCTTCTTGACCTGCAACTGAACGACGTGCTTTTTGCCGTCCACACGCAGGAGGTAGGACACCTGCCCGGCCACCTTGGGGTCCCCACTGCGGGGTCCCAATTGCCTGGGGATGATCACTTCGTAGGAGGAGAAGCCCCTCTCTGGAAGAAAAACGAAGTCCGGAAAGAGGCAGGAGAGGCCAGGGAGGAGCATCACCAGGCGGAATGGAAAGAGGGAGCGGCCCAGGGAGGACACAGCACCCATGGTCCCCGTCCCCGTCCTCCCCGCTTTTCCTCTGCAGCTTCAGTCCGGGAACAGAGCCGGAGAGAGCCACAGACGCTCCCGGCAGCTACCGCAGCCAATAGTAAGGAGGGGCAGGGAAAGAAGCTGCTCCCAGACTCCGCCTCTGGAATTTAAGGTAAGAATCCGAGGGGCTGAGGCAATGAGCTGGGAGAAAACCAAGAAAAGTGATCCCTACCGACTTTGAGAAAACGCAGGAGTGAACTTGGCGGGGAGGCTGGGAGGCAGAGGGCGCGGGCTGGTGGATAGGGATAGAAACTAGACTGGAGAAGAACCCCAAATCATCAGCTGAGGAGCTACTACTGTAAAGAGTCCCTCTTTACAGGATGGAGGGGGTTGGAGGTGGGGCAGGGATTCAAGTCTAGTCTTCTCATTTATTACGTAAGTGACAAAGGTATGTGATAATGCAGCATCTAATAATGCCCTGAGAGAGGCATGGTATAGTGTATAGAAGGCCTGGATTCAAATCCTGCCTCTGACGCACAGGGGCTGTGAGACCCTGGGCAAGTCTCTTATCTCAATACCCCAGACAGCTCTAAGACTATAAGCCCCTAATCTTCATCGGTGGAGGGAATTTCCCACACTAAATGAAATTGCTGTTCCAATAAATAATAATACAACAACAGTGTAGTGAGCGAGTACATCATCCCACTTTATAAGAGGGGATAAAGGGGTGTTACTTATGTCCCTCAGAGGGTTGATTATTTGTAATGTACCATAGTAGAATCCAGCTGGATTTTCTGTGCCCTTGTTAAATTCCTGACCGTTTATCTTCTTCCTGTGAAGGCTTGCCAAATCAGCTATGCTCTGAGAAGAGCTGAAGCTGAACTGGGGCTTATAGAAATTTTTCTTTCTGCCTCCAAAATTTTGCTCTGAGATAGACATCTATAAAGTAGCTGTTCTTGATGCTGCCTTTGGAACTGTAGTTAACACTAACATTAACATGTCCTTCATGTAGAATTGTAGTTAACACTAACATTAACATGTCCTTCATTTGGAACTGTAGTTAACACTAACATTAACATGTCCTTCATTGTCATAGCCAGTTGAGCACTGACATAACAATGAGGTGCTGACCAAGGAACAAAGTCAACCTTTGGTTGAGGAATTTTTTTTTAGAGTGCTCTGGGTTCTTAGCTTGTCAGAAATCTATGAAATGATAACATGCTCCCTCTACCTGGGGTATTTACATTTTTGCAAAGGAAAAAAAGTGCTGTTTGGGTGACATCAAAAGAAAGTTTTAAATGTAGAATTAACACCCAGAGAGGTAGAGTTTTAGAAAGCCAGAGGGAGTACAGAGAGAGGGAGTTTCCTTCCAAATTACACCTACTCATAGAGATTTCCTGCTGCCTTTCCCCCATGCTTGGAATTTTCTTCTTCCTCATCTCCATGCCTGGCTTCCTTAGCTTCTTTTGAGTCCCAGATAAGATTCCATCTTCTACAAGAAGTCTTTTCCTTCCCCTTTATTGCTAGTGGTTTCTCTCTTGATTATCTCCAATTTATTCTATATGTATCTTGTTTGTAAATATGTTACCTCCTCCATTACAATATGAGTTCCTTTGTAACTCCAGTGCTTGGCATCATTGTATTGAGTAGAATATATTATGCTTCAGCTGAAGTGAAAAAGCAAACAAACAGGGGTAGCAATGATGATCTCAGACAAAGCAAAAGCAAAAGCAAAAATAGATTTAATTAAAAGACATAAGGAAGGAAACTACATCTTGCTAAAAGATACCATAGAAAATGAAATAATATCAATACTAAACATATATACACCAAGTGGTATAGCATCCAGATTCTTAGAAGAGAAGTTAAGTGAGTTACAGAAGGAAAAGAAAAACTATACTAGTAGGGGAACTCAACCTCCCCCTCTCAGAACTAGATCAATCTAATCACAAAATAAGCGAGAAAGAAGTTAAGGAGGTGAATATAATTTTAGAAAAGTTAGATATGATAGACCTCTGGAGAAAATTGAATGGGGATAGAAAGGAATAAACCTTTTTCTCAACAGTACCTGGCACCTACACAAAAATTGACCATGTATTATGGCATAAAAATCTCACAATCAAATGCAAAAAGACAGAAATATTAAATACATCTCTTTTTAGATCATGATGCAATAAAAATTACATGTAATAAAGGGCCATGATAAATGATAAGCAGCATCTATTTAAAACCATCAGTAAGCATTATATGTAAATGGGGATAAGCTAGAAGCATTCCCAATAAGATCAGGGGTGAAACAAGGTTGGCTATTATCACCACTATTATTCAATATTATACTAGAAATGTTAACCTTAGCAATAAGAGAAGAAAAAGAAATTGAAGGAATTAGAATTGACAATGAGGAAACAAAACTATCCCTCTTTGCAGATGATACGATGGTATACTTAGAGAACCCTGGAAAATCAACTAAAAACTATTTGAAACAATTAGCAACTTTACCAAAGTTGCAGGATATAAAATAAACTCACATAAATCATTAGTATTTCTATATATTACCAACAAAGCCCAGCAGTAAGAGGTAGAACAAGAAATTCCTTTTAAAATAACTGTAGACAATATAAAATATTTGGGAGTCTACCTGCCAAGACAAACTCAGGAACTATATGAACACAATTACAAAACACTTCTCACACAAAGTTAGATCTAAACAATTGGGAAAATATCAATTATTCATGAGGAGACTGAGCTAATATAATAAAAATGACAATTCTACCTAAATTAATTTACTTATTTAGTGCCATACCAATCAAAGTACCAAAAAATTATCTTATAGAGCTAGAAAAAATAATAACAACAAAATTCATCTGGAAAAACAAAACATGAAGAATATCAAAGGAATTAATGAAAAAAATGCAAAGGAAGGTGACCTAGCTATACCAGATCTAAAACTGTATTATAGAGTGGCAACCATCAAAACTATTTGGTACTGACGAAGAAATAGAGTGGTGAATCAATGAAACAGGTTAGGTAAACAAGACACAGTTGTAAATGACTTTAGTAATCCACTGTTTGATAAACACAAACACTCTAGTTTCTGAGATAAGAACTCACTATTTGACAAAAACTGCTGGGAAAACTGGAAGATACTATGGCAGAAACTAGGCATAAACCAACATCTCACACCATATACTAAAATAAAGTCAAAATGGGTTCATGATTTAGCTATAAAGACTGATACCATAAGCAAACTGAGAGAGCAAGGAATACTTTACCTATCAGATCTATGGAGAACAGAAGAATTCATGACCAAACAGGAGATAGAGAACGTTATGAAATGCAAAATGGATACTTTTGATTACATCAAATTAAAAAGATTTTGCACAAACAAAACCAATGCAACCAAGATTAGGAGGAAAGCAGAAAGCTGGAAAACAATTTTTATAGCCAGTGTTTCTGATAAAGGCCTCATTTTTAAAATATATAGAAAATTGAGTCAAATTTATAAAAATAAAAGTCCATTCCCCAATTGACAGATGGTCAAAGGATGTGAACAGGATGTTTTCAGAGGAAGAAATTAAAGCTATCAAATTAAAGTTAGTCATTTGAAAAAATGCTCTAAGTCACTATTGATTAGAGAAATGCAAATTAAAAGAACTCTGAGGTACCACCTCACACCTGTAAGATTGGCTATTATGACAGGAAAGGAAAATTATGGGTGTTGGAGAAGATGTGGAAAAATTGTAACACTAATGCATTGTTGATGGAATTGTGAACTGATCCAACCATTCTGGAGAGAAATTTGGAACTATACCCAAAGGGCTATAAAACTATGCATACTCTTTGATCCAGCAATACCACTACTAGGCCCGTATCCCAAAGATATCATAAAAAGGGGAAAGGACCCACATATACAAAAATATTTGTAGCAGCTCTTTTTGTGGTGGCAAAGAACTAGAAATTGTGGGGGTGCCCATCAATTGTGGAATGGCTGAACAAGTTGTGGTATATGAATGTAATGGAATACTCTTGTTCTATAAGAAATGATGAGCAGGCAGATTTCAGAAAAACCTGAAAAGACTTACTTGAACTGATGCTGAGTGAAGTAAGCAGAACCAGGAAAACACTGTACACAGTAACAGCAACGTTGTATGATTGTCAATAATGACAGACTTAGCTCTTCTCAACAATACAATAATCCAAGACAATTCCAAAAGACTCATGATAGAAAATGCTATCCACATCTAGAGAAAGAACTACTGAGTCTGAATGTAGATTGAGCATACTATTTTCACTTTTTTGTTGGTTTTTTTTTTGTTTTTTTCTTTCTTGTGGTTTTCCCCTTTTGTTCTGATTCTTCTTTCATAACACGACTAATGTGGAAATATGTTTAACATGATTGTACACGTATAACCTATATCAGATTGCTTGATATCTTGGGGACGGGGAAGAGGAGAGAGGGAGGGAAAAAAATTTGGAATTCAAAATCTTACAAAAATGAATATTGAAAACTATCTTTACATGTAGTTGGAAAAATAAAGTACTATTAAGTGAAAGAAAAAAATGAGTCTGTACTCTTAAATGGTGTTAACCTTGGCCATCATATCTTTTTGAGTTCTTTTGGCCTCTTTTTATGGCAATTGCTTTATGTCTATTTAACTTAATGGTAATAATCAGAGGAAATGTCATCTATTTCCTATTTTTTAGTATTAACAGCGGTTTTTTTTAAAGGTCAAGTTGGTGCCATTGTAATTGCCCATAACATCACCATCTTGTCTTCATTTTCTTCTAGTTTCGTGTTCATTTTTACTTTTGCAAGTCAGTGGTCTGAATGCATACAAACAGCTGATATGAAAATGAGTCTTCTACCAGCAACCAGTGATTTTCTGCTTAAGAGTACACCTTATGTACAGTATTTGAATTTTTACCCTATGAAATGCAAATATTATTTTACTTCCATACTTAAAGGATACTTGATTTCACCTATATATAGAATCATACATACCTTTAATGCTGGACGA